ATGTTGTTTTTTTCTGTTTTTTTTTTTTTTTTTTTTGACCGACGTGTCTTCTCATGTCACCCCTGGGCTGGCAGGCAGTGCACATATCAACATTCTACCGCACGCCTTGAAATCTGGGCTCTAATGATGCTTCACTCCTTCAGCCTCCCTGAGCAAGCTGGAAACTAACCAGGCACCTGCCACCATGCCCAGCCTATATCTATTTTTAGAGACCAGGATCTCACTATGTTGCCTAGGCTGGTCTCAATCACTCCCTGGCCTCAAAGCAAAATGCCTCCTGCCCTTCGGCTTCCCAAAAGTGCTGGGATTGCAAGGCACTAAGCCATCCGTGCCCGCCAAACGTTTGGCAACACTAAAGATTAAGTCAAGTCAGTTGTACAGCAGGAATAGTAAATATAAAAGTAAGACAAATAACGAAGTCCTGATAAAACATCTCTTTAATCTCTTTAGAATAGATGATAATACTCAAAAAGAGTAATTCAGACAGAAAAAGCACAGGAAGGATAAAATAGAATGGTTCTTAAACATCTAATTATTAATAGGGAGCAAACGGCTCAATGTAGGGAAAGATCCTAACTTTTAGTAGCTTTTGTCACAGGTTTTCCTTACCTCTTCTGCTGTACTAACATGTCGCCTCTGAGTTTTCTTGGGGCTCAAAAGGCTTCGACGACATGAACCACTCCAAGATGGACTTGGAACAGGTTTAATAGGGAAAGATTTTTCATATGCAGATACATGGCAGTGATGGTTTGACTTTCCCGCAAAAATGTTTGATAATCCACTAAAAAAAAAAAAGAGTTTGTAAGAAAGATAAGAACAGACAATAAGTAAAATAAATCTAATCTAGTGATTATTTTCACTTTCAAAATATAAAACCAACCAAACAAAACAGGTAAAACAATAGGTGGTACCATTTGAGGGAAATATACGATAAATGAATAAATGATATATAAGGATGCTGCATCAGGTTCTGCCACTTAAAAGATCTTACATTGTCAAAACACAAAATTATCAAATACTTAAAACTGTATTTTTAGATCCACAATCTAGAATTTCTTTTCGTCAGGAACAATATAGCTTTGTGGTATAGTGTCTTGCTCTGTCACCCTGGCTGCAGTGCAGTGGCACAATCACAGCTTACCGCAGCCTTGAAATCCTGGGCTCTAATGATCTTCCTCCTTCAGCCTCCTGAGCAGCTGGAACTACAGGCACCTGCCACCATGCCCAGCTAATTTATTTTGTAGAGACAGGATCTCACTATGTTGCCTAGGCTGGTCTCAAACTCCTGGCCTCAAGCAATCCTCCTGCCTTGGCTTCCCAAAGTGCTGGGATTGCAAGCATAAGCCACCGTGCCCAGCCAAACGTTTTAGATTCAATACAAACTTTAAACCAAAAATATGAACAGGATTTTTACTAACCATATCACAAATAATCAAGTTTTGACACCTAAGAGATCACTGATTACCAAATTATGTAATTATTTAGCATGTAATGCTGTATTCTTGACTCCATACTCAGTAAGCTTCATTGGGCAGGAACCATATTGCTGTGTTGGACAACAGAAAGCATACTTGACCAAACCTCCTCAGAAGTTCTCGGTTCTAGGCCTGCCATTTACTAGTCATGTAACCTATGACTCTTATTTTCCAAATCTGTAAAACATGACTATTACCTCATCTCTACCTGGCCCAATATTTTGTATTACTCATGTTATATGGCTGTCTCTGCAAAAAAATACAAATCAGCTGGTTGTGGGCGGTGGGTGCCTGTAATCACAGCTAGCTGGGAGATGAGGCGGAGAATCACTTGAACCCAAGAGGTGGAGGTTGCCATGAGCCGAGATCGTGCACTGCCGCTCCCAGTCTGTGTGCAGAGAGCAAGAATCCATCTCAAAAAAAAAAAAAAAGAAGAAACCTCAAAATTAGTAAGCCATGGATGTGAGACAGGGTTTTTGAGTTCACAATATTTCTTCCATGCAATTTGCCAAGTGTTTCCCCTTAGATGGTATAAAGAGACCAAAAATTCTTCAGAGGAGCTTAAATAGCACAGAAGGAGAATTTATGACACAGCCTAATAGTTGTTTTTAATGAACGGAATTGGAGCCCTCTGTTGGGCTTAAGGGTATTAAAATTTCAGTTTAAAAGGCTTAGTTGAGAGGGCTATCAGGCTTTATTGCATTTTTACAATTTAATCTTAATCTCCTCAATAGGCTGAGTATCAGGTACCAAGGGACAAATAGAAATGTATTTTTTTTTTTTTTTTAGCATACCTGGGGAACCCAGGTTCTTTTGAAAGACATCAATGCTGTTATGCTTTGTCAACACAAAAGCTATATTGTTCCTGAACCAAAAGAAATTCTAAGATTTGTGGAATCTAAAATACAGTTTAAGTATTTGATGAATTTTTGTTTTTGACAATGTAAGGATTGTTTTAAAGTGGGCAGAACCTGATGCAGCATCTCTGGTATATATCATTTATTCATTTATCGTACTATTATTCCCTACATTGGTTACACCTATTGTTTTACCTGTTTTGTTGGGGGTTTATATTTTTGAAAGTGAAAATAATCACTAGATTAAGTTCTTTTTTACTTATTGGTTGTTCTTTACTCTTTTTACAATAACTCTTTTTTTTTTTTACGTGATTTTCAAACTTTTTTGCGGGAAAGGTCAAACCATCACTGCCATGTATCTTGCATATGAAAAAATCTTTTCCCTATTAACCTGTTCTCCAAGTCCATCTT